TTTTACACCTTCACTGACTTTATTTTTCATGTCTAAGGAATCTCTTGTACAGGGGTTCTCAAACGGGGGGTCGGAACCTCTCAGGGGTTCGCGAGGTTATTACATGGGGGGTCGCGAGCTGTCAACCTCTACCCCAAGTCCCGCTTTCCATCCAGCATTTATAATGGTGTTAAATATATTTAAAAGTATTTTTAATTTATAAGGAGGGTCGCACTCAGAGGCTTGCTATGTTAAAGGGGTCACCAGTACAAAAGTTTGAGAACTACCACTCTTGTAAAGCAATTGCTTACCACAAAGAATCCTTCTTGCCAAAAGGTTTAAAAAAATCAAACACTTCTATAATATTATCTTCCTTTTGCTCCCCTCTCTCATACATGCACCTCATTTATGTATTTTTTTTTCATTTTTTTCTCAATCACAGTGTTGGCCCTGTTTAAACTGACCTCAGTTTTGAAGGGTTCACATATGATTGGGGTCAGAAGGCCATTATTTTAATACTGTTTAGCTAATATGCTAGTTTACCACAAAGAGTCATTTGCTATAAAACTGCTGGCAGCTACCCAGGTTGGGTGGGATTTTTCAGTACTAGATTATTACTTCATATTATGATAAGGAAATATGACTTTAGCCTTAATAAACAGTAATCTTTCCCTTTATATTGTGTTGAACTGGCTGATATGCATTGCCTTCAACTGGATGGAATCAGAACTACCCAGCTATGTGTCATGTTAACAAAGATTCTCCTTTTGTTCAAGTGTGGGGAGGGGGTTCTGAGTTCTAGCCCCACTGTGCCTGTAGAGCTCTGAGGGAGTTAGTATGAAGACGTTAGGAGGCCACAGAATCCTTATAATATGCATTGTCATTCACAGAAACTCCCTTTAAAAGGATGCTAAAAATTGACAAATGCACACCTAAAAGGGACTATGTTAGTGATGTGCAAAGCTCAGGAGACTGGTTGAGATATGCAGCCCATCTGCTCATCCTTCTTTATCACTCTTTAGGGCTATATCATGGCATTGAACTACAGTCCTAAGAGAAGGGATGGTGCACCACTGCACCCCCAGTGGGAGTATCGGGAAGCATTGAGGTTGCTGAGAAGAATGTAATCTGCTGCACTTCTTTGAGGGTGCAGCATAGTCACCCCACTCTCTTTTGATTGGCGTGTGGGGGAGACTGGTTAGAACTACGTCTCCACATACTTCCCATTTGGGCTTTTTTAAAATAGTCTGGATACCTTATGAATAGAGATTACAGTACTTCCTGATTCCAGGCAGGCTAGAAGTACTGCAAGAACAGACTTTCTTGAAATATTTTGATACTTTTGGTTCTGAAGGTGAGTAAGAAATGGACAACAAGAAGCATAAATGTATTTGAGCCTCAAAAAAAGTTTGGTTTGTGAGACAGGTGAAGGTCCAGCTAAGCTCTAAGTTTATCCAAACCAGTTCTCAAATTCCTAAGATTTCTACCATATACCTTCTGTTATGAAGCATTCAGTATAGTTATGATGGTGACATGTTGCATATAAGTAACTGAGTCAATCATAGATTAAAATAATACATTGCAGCATAACTACACTGTAAGTGGATAAAACATGGAAAGCCCCCACTTACTTACTTTTAAAATACAATGTTAAATGGTTGCTGACAAATGATCACAAAATGACTTTGAACTTATAACAATTGTTTATAGTTTGAACAGAATGTCTAGAGATTTTTGGTATGAGCTTTGCAATATTGCAAAATGTTCACAAAACCCAAGTCATTTCACACAGATAGGTTCACCAAAAGACAACTCCCAGATGTGGACCTCCAACCTCAGCCTCTGCTGAAGATATTCTAGCTAAGACATGATTTGATACAGGCCCCCAAAGTCTTTTAACATTATACCATAGCAAGTAGCTCCCCACTTCTGCAAGTGTAATCCCACATTGCTTTCGTCCCTCAACACTTTGACTGTTCTCTCATCAGGGCAGGCTCCAGGCACCAGCCGAGCAAGCTCGTGCTTGGGGCGGCAGATTCTACGGGGCGGCATTCCGCCCAATCCTAAGGCCTGGTCTACACTAGGACTTTAATTCGGATTTAGCTGCGTTAATCCGAATTAACCCTTCACCCGTCCACACTACAGAGCCAGTTAATTCGAATTAAAGGGCACTTAAAATCGATTTCTGTACTCCACCTCGACGAGCGGAGTAACCCCTAAATCGATTTTGTTAATTCGAATTAGGGTTAGTGTGGCCGCACACCACCGAATTACTGTGTTTAAGTTAATGGGGTAGTGTGGCCGCACACCACCGAATTAATGTGGTTAAAAACCGAATTAAGGTGCTTAGTGTGGCCGCGCACAATCGAATTTATACAACCTGTTTCACAAATTCGAATTATCTAAATTCGGATTAATCCTGTAGTGTAGACATACTCTAAGGCGGCACGGCCGCTTTTATTGTTTGTTTGCCGATCTGGCCGCCCTGTAGGGGGCAGTGGCGCACAGGAGGGGAGCGCCCTGCTGGGTGCGGGCTGCGCGTTCCGTCTGCCCCAGCCAGGTCTGTAGCAAGCCCAGCAGGGCAGCCCGCATCCTTCCCTCCCCGCCGACCGGAGCAGCGCGGAGCCCTCCCAGTAGGTGGCGTGGTGGTCGGGGCCGCATAGTGAATGCCCCGCTGAAGCCCTGGCTGCCCCACTTCTCTCTCTCCCCCGCTCCCTCCCCCTGACCCCCGCTAGCCAGGGCACGTCTGCAGTGCAGGGAGTCCCCCTGCACCCTGGCTCCGGCCACCCCACAGGTTTTTTTTTTTTTTTTTTTTTT